CCTAATCAAAAATTTAAGGAAACTCGCCTTACTAGGAATAAGAATCCCTTGAAGTCAAACCCTTAAAGTTTGTTAATCTAGATTTACTAACTGAGAAGGATAGACCAATACTTGAAGCCCAGGCGGTGACTTGCAGTAAGTTAGCTCATAGACTAATGATACAGTGAATTAACTTTATTTCTATTTTTATTCTGTGTAATTACGCTACAACGTTACATTTTTTTTTTTTTTATATATGTTACATATGCTTACTTATCATTAACTATTCTTATAAGTTAATATTACTTTCTTACTTAATTTCTGTATTTGTAGCTAATAACTGTATATTTAGTAGCAATCATTCATAAAAATGGATCCTTACATTAGGGACGTGAATCGTGAACCTTTCAATACAATAAAATTAAATTCACCAAATGATGTTAATAATCTCTATAATAATTTAAACGGTCAAACATTTAACATTTTCCACCAAAATATATGCAGTATAAATAAAAATTTGGATAAATTGAAAATATTTTTACACCAACTTTCATTTTCTTACGATTGCATAGTTTTAAGTGAAACGTTTAATGTGCACGACTATAATTTATTTCAGCTGGAAAATTATGATTTATTATATAGCGAAGGTAATATAAACAAAAATGATGGAGTTATAGTTTTTATTAAGAATAAATTTAATTATTCATATAATGTAATATCTATAGGAATGTGTCGTGCCATACAAATAATATTAAAGATGAAAAATAATAATCAAATTGCAATAACTTCAATATATAAACCACCACCAGTAAATGAGGAAGAATTCCTTGGACATCTTGAAATTTACCTAAAACAAACAAATAAATTAAAAATCACTGAGCATATTTTAATTGGCGATATTAATATTAATTTAAAAATTATTAGTGACACTGTTTCCAATTATTTAAATATAATGGAGGAATACGGTTTTTGTTCTTTAATAAATAAAAACACAAGAGTTTGCGGTATTTCAAAAAGTTGCATCGATCACATATTTTATAGTAACAAAAATAAAGATACTAAAAGTTGCATAGCATCGGTATGTGACACATTTATATCTGACCATAGGGCGATTTTTGCATTTATCCCATTGTCTCCAGAATTAAAATCCCAAAACGAACACATTCTAAAACACATAAATTACAGCAAACTTAGACAAGAGTTGCAGAAACATGACTGGACACAATACAAAAATATCGGCTATGTAGATCTAAAAGCAACGTATATAATAAAAACCTTAAGTTTATACATTGAAACAAACACACATATATCAAAGTTAGCACGTGCGTGCATTAAAAGAAAACAATGGATTACCAAAGGTCTAATAAACTCTATTCAAAAAAGAAATAAACTTTATAAAGAATATAATAAAGATCGTGAAAATAATTTTAAAAAACGTGAGTATTTAAATTACCGCACAATCGTCGACAAAACTATTAAGGCAGCAAAACTAAATTTCTACACAAAACAAATAACAGAAAATAAAAATAGCTCCAAGCACTTGTGGACTTTGATAAAAGGTTGTGGTAATAATAGCCAAAATAAAGAAAAAATAGAGGAGATACTTACGGAAGATGGAACCCTAGTTAATGATCCCTTATATGTAGCACAAGAATTCAATAACTACTTTTCTAGTATTGGGGAAAAATTAGCTGGTAAAATAATTAGGCCAAATAATCCTCTCTTTAGAAAAAACCAACTACAGGTAAATTCATCATTTTTTTTGACACCTGTAACAGAACCTGAAATAATAAACATTATAAAAGCATTAAAAAACAAAAAAGCACCAGGTATTGATAACATTAAGTCTGAGGTTATTAAAGAAACTGCTGAAATCATTGCACCTTATTTATCAGATTTGATAAACTCCATTTTTGAGACAGGACAGTGCCCAGCAGAATTTAAAAAGGCCATCATTACTCCAATACACAAAAAGGGAGATAAGAAATGTTTATCAAATTACAGGCCAATCTCATTGATTTCAACAATTGCGAAGATTTTCGAAAAATCTCTGAAAACCAGATTAACGACATATCTAAATAAATACAATATCTTATCAAAATCTCAGTTTGGTTTTCGAGAGGGTCTTTCAACAAGTGATGCTATAATTACATTGGTGAACCAAATCTATGATTCAATAGATACAGCAAAGCCTTCTATATGCGTATTCCTAGATCTCGCCAAGGCCTTTGACACTGTATCTCACAATCAGCTGTTGGAGACCTTGGAGGATATAGGAATTCGCGGAGTCCCTTTAAATCTGTTCAAAAGTTACTTAAACGACAGAGAACAAGCTGTTCGAATAGGAACTTGTACCAGTAAAAATAATAAAATTAAATTTGGAGTGCCTCAGGGTACAGTCTTAGGACCAACGCTATTCTCTATTTATATTAATAACCTGTTTTCCTTGACAACTAAAGGAAATATCATTGGCTTTGCTGATGATACGGCGATATTCTACCAAGGTAATACATGGCAAGAGCTAAAGGGAAGAATAGAGGAAGATTTTAATAATATTTCTGACTGGTTCGACTGTAAACAGCTAACGATTAATTATGAAAAAACTTTTTTTATTCCATTCTGTAGCTATAAAAATACGTTACCCCAATTTTCCGAGCTGCAAATCAATAAGACAGGAACCAAAATAATAAAATTAAAAAATAACATTAAATACCTAGGCGTAACTATAGATTCCCACCTTAAATGGGAAATACATATAAATAACATCACAAATAATTTAAGACCCTTATTATATAAGTTAAAATACATGAAAACTATTCTAAAACCGGCATATCTTAAAATAATGTATCATTCACTTGTTGAATCCAGAATCAACTATGCTATCTTATCATGGGGTTCTGCTTCAAAAACTCATCTGAAAAAATTAAAAGTAATACAAAAGAAATTCTTAAAAATAATTTATAATAAAAATAATACTTACCCATCTAATTCTCTATTTAAAGAAACATCACTATTGGATGTTAGACAAGCATACTTTTTCAATGTCGTTATATATATTTATAAAAATAAATCCATAATTCAAACAATTAAACATAATTATAATACCCGATATAGACTTGAAGAGAATACCCAAATTGCTCTAAGAAACAAGACCATAGGACAGAGATCATTAAATTTTTTAAGTACCGTAATCTACAATTTTTTGCCGAACGTGTATAAAATATATTTAATATCAATCAATTCAATAGATCTTCTAAAATCATTTATTAAATCATTTATTTTAAATGTTGAAAGGTCCATTATTCATTCTCTAATTGAAAGAGACATAAATTAATTAGAACTAAAAAGTACAATAATATCTAAAAAAAAAAAAAAAAAAAAAAAAATTGAATTTAAATAATGGAATTAAACAAGAAAACTCGCGCGCAACCTGTGTAGGTCATAAGCGAGTCGTACGGTGGTCCATGTTTATTCGATAAAAATTTGTTAATTAAATTATATATATTTATTTATTTGTATCTGATTGTATTATCATTATCTTGTTCTTGTAAAACACTATTTCTTTTTGAATAAACATTATTATTATTATTATTATTATTATCCGCTAGAGCTGTGGCACAGCTGTAGCCTGACCTAGAACCAGATTGTTTGCTAGGTAATATATTGTTGTTCTTCAAAAACCCTCTCATTTGAATTTTCATTACTCTCTCTAATATTTTGGAAAAAACTGGTAAAATACTAATTGATCTTAAATCACTGTATTCTTCAGGTAAAGTTACTTTTGGTAAGGGCAAAACTTTAGCGAATTTCCATGATTAAGGAAAATAACTATTTTTTAAGCATTCATTAATAATGTGTGTAATAATGGGTAATAGAAATAGACAACAAAAGTGTAAAATGATAATATTAATATCATCCATTCCGTAAGCTTTAGATTTGATATTGTAATAATATTATTGACAACATCTTCGGAAACATCATTAAAATAAAATCTTCAGTAATATTTTCTTTAAAATTGTTAAGGTAAAAAATGTTGTAAATCTATTTGTATAGCAGAGTTATTAATGTTTGAAGTAAAAAATTTGTTAATGGCATTAACATCTTTTAGGTTTGGAGGTAGGTCAATTTTTTTTTTGTCTCGGTATATTGAGTTTCTTTAATTCTGACCATTTTTCCTTAATATTACAAGTTTGAAATTTAAAATTTAAGTAAGCCCTTTTTTTGTGCTTTTATAGCTGTTGTTGTGTAGTTTCTTAATTGTTTATAGTAATCCCAATGCGTTGGAAGTTGTGTTCTGCGAAATTTTTGCAAGGCTTTATCTCTAAGCCATTGCATATAAATAATATTTTCAGTAATCCAAGGAGAATGTTTAATTAATTTTCTAGTTTTTGATTTTTTTGGAGCATGTATATCTAAAACTGTAATTATGTAGCTATTTAAAAACTCTACATTTTTGTCAATGTTTTCAGTAAAATAAATATTGTACCAGGGCATAGATGCCAAATGATTTTGAAAATGTGCATGATTAATCTTTGTAAGTGACCTATATTCTACTTTGAAGTCGTTTTGAGGTACATTGTGAAAATTTTTTAATTTGCCGTTTATTGCTGAATGATCCGCAACTAGATTATGATTAACAAATTCTGCACAGAAATTGATATTAATATTAGTAATAAATAAGTCTAACAAAGAGTTAGCCCTTGTTGGTTCTTTAATTATTTGTAATAGATCAAATGTTTCAAGTATCTTGTTAAAACGAATTGTAGTAGAATCATCAATATCCAACATATCTATATTAAAATCTCCTACACATATAATATAATCAAAATTTGAAAAAATATTGGAAAACAAAGTTTCAACTTGATCCAAAAACAATAAATTATTACCTCTTGGTTGCCTATATACAGTACCTACTGCTATTATTAAATCCGCCACACAAACCTTAATCCATAAATATTCTATAACATCATTACATTCCGAAATAATTAAATTACATCTTAGTTGCTCCCTTATATACATACCAACACCTCCGCCTCTGGTGAGTCTATCTTGTCTAATAAATTTATAACCATTTAAATGTACCAAATTACTGTCTATTTCTGGGTTTAGCCAGGTTTCGGCGATCTAACTTTTACATGGGCTACATTAAACATCTGCAAAAATAAATAAATTAGTACTTATTAATTTATTAGAATAGCGAGATTACTGTTTTGGAAGTGGTTTAGGTAAGAGAGAAGGAGAAAAGGAGACAGAACAAGAAAGGAAGGGAAATAAAGGATTTCGATAAAAATTTAGTCCACTCGGAGACTGCTACGCAATAGTCAGGTTAGGGGATCTTTAATAGGGAAATGCTTACTCGTGTTATAGTACTGTGCACCACCCATAGATGGCGCTACTTTACACAAAGTTTGCTCGTTGTATTCGTCGAGCAGATTCAGAGTGTATTCAGAGCAGGTTCAGAGTAACGCAAGTGTACGCAAGTTGTTATTTAAAACTTTTAACAGCTATTTAACATAAAAAAAAACGCTATTAATGGCAATAATGGTAATGGTTGATTTGTTTTATTAGGTTAGTTTTTCGAAGAGAATTTTTAAAGCTTTAAACATATATAATTATGGTGCGAATTCGTCCTTGTGCTGATCCAGATTGTCAGGATAAAGTTAGTCGCAGGTAAGGAATACATTTACAATTTTATTTCTTTACAAGTAAAAACTTCTTTTTGTATTTTATTCTTAAATACTTTGCCAAATTTTAAGAGCATATATTATTACTTAAAAGTACCCAATTTGTGAAATAAATTCCCAAAATAATGCGGGTAACCTAATGTTTTCTAGGAAAAATTAAAAATCTTAACCTAACTTTTATCACTTTCTATACAATTTCAGTAACTAGATAAAATATGTGAATATTAAGAAGATTGAAATAAATAGTGTTATTAGTATTTTTTTAGAATTATACAATATGTAATGGATACTTTATATTAGATACCTATATACAATTTTTTTTCGGAATTCAAAATGAGGTACTTTTCAAACATACCAATAATTGTATATTTTATATTGTGCGACTCTTATTATTTTTTGCTCCATATACTGTGACCTACCTCACCTAGGTATCTTCACAATTTATTGATTCCAATTAATAAAAGTTGCATTCTTACTAAATTCAAATTCCTTCATTTTATTGAAAAATCTTCTACGATATATTTTTAAGAAATGCCGATTCATTCTCACTAGCTAATAAATTAATAGCTCAGCTGAATTGACTCAACACAAAAATAATAAAATTGAACTTTATATTTTTTAACTGATACTCTTCTTCATTTTTTACATGAAAACGAATCACCAAACACTGCAATAGGAAGTGACAAGTACACCCAACAGCAGCCAGAGCCAACTTTCCCCAGGACCTTTCGTTACAACTTTCTAGGGATACAACCATGGGTGAACTTCGTAATAGTTTTATATTCATATTTCTTAATTATTGTGTACTGTAATAAGAATTCGTGCAATTTTAATTCTAATAATAAAAAATATATGGTTATAATCGTGTTTTACTTCATAATAAGATGTATTTTTTGTTCCACAAATCCAAAATTATAATTTTTCGTTTTCTTTTTAACTTAAAATATTTCAAATTTTATCTATCACAGAACATAACCCAATGGATTATATCCATCTAAGTATGTTGAGTGAAGAATAAAATGTTTGAATCATTTTAAGTAAAAAAGAATGAAAAATTATAATTTTGTAAACTTAGTAGTGGTTTATTAGAAAGGCCGAGTTTGAAAAACCCGCGCTCATTGACCCCTACCGCCATCTATATAATAAATCTTGAACAAATTTTCAATTATTAGTTATCTTCTTTTTTTTTAACTCAACTATTTGCAACCGCTACGGATGGCGCTGAAAAATGAGTAAAAGGGTATGGTCTGTGGCAATAGTATTTTGATGCTCCGCTCAAAGAAAAACGGATTTTAAAATAGAAAAAGGAATAAATAAAAATTTGAGAATGTTTTGTGATGGGAGAAAAATCATTGTTTCTCATCATATTGGCACCTAGTGTATATCAAAAAGTTTTAAATACAATACAAAAAACCCGTTTTTATAAAATTCACAGTTGTATTACTTATATAAAAGTATAATTACAGAGAAAATTTTGAGAAAAAAAACCAAATTGTGTATAAAACCAAATATTTTTAAATAATCCCTTGGAATAGCAATATTTTTTTTTGTGTGTCATCGGCTTCAACTCTAAGGTAATTTCGCCTCGTGATCTATGTAGGCTTTGTTACTGTTTCCCAGCGCCACTTTAGGAACAGCACTGTTAATTAGAACCCAACAGTGAATGGTCGAGTGGGGAATCCTACCAAGGCATCAGAATTAATTTTAAATAATTAAATTAAATGAAAAAATCCCGGCCAACGGTGGGATTCGAACCTTCCGATCTCAAAGTCATGACTCTAACCACTGAGCCAACCCACCCCCTAATAGCAATATTATTAATGAATTCATCAATTTAAATTTTAATTATTACTATCATAGCAAAAATATAAAAACAAAACAATTTATTAATGTACAAACACAAATTATTAATTATATAGAAGATGATTCTGAATACATTAGGGGAGTCTTTCAAAGACAAAACGAAGGGAAATAAAACACATGATTTTCTAAATTGAAATAATAAATAAAAAAATTTTATGTATTCGTATATAAACGAAATATATTTAAACAAATCCTTTAGCTCTAGAGTAAAGATTATTCTTAGTAAAATGCACCATTTAAATAATTATAGCAAAAAAAAGTAAAATGCACCAATTTAAATAATTATAGCAAAAAATATATGTATGTTAAAAAAAATTTTGGAGTACCAACAAACCTTATAATTATTAAACAAGTGACTTTAAATACCTAAAGGGCCCTTATGAAATAAAAAAAATAAATAAAAAATAAAAGACCAAGAAAGAAAATTTGAATAGTTATTAAAGTAGGTACCTAATTATAATCACTAAAAGCTTCAAGTTCTTCAACATCTTTCAGCTTATGGACACTATTGTCTTGTTTTAAAAATATGCAGCCATTACGACACCATACATTATTTTTTGTAAATTTGGATAATGCAGCTTTAAAAAGTAACACCCTGGATGGTATTAGATCCTCTTGTACATAAGAATATTTTTTATTTTTATTTTGTTATTAAATAAATCCATCATTAAGTTCTGAACGTTTTCGTTACTATTTCGCTGTGTCTAGGTACACGCTAACTTGTACGCAAATCTAAAAGTTCGATACACGCGAAACGTCATCAAGCCGATGATGTCATTATTTAGCGTGCGCAAATATTGTATTTTTGGTACACGCTTACTTGTACAGTAAGTGTCAGTGAGGTTATGTATGTTTGTTATTTAATCGGGTTGTGTTTACACTTTAGAATATTAATTAGTAAAAAGATTTCTTATTTTTTGATTTGTTTAGTGTTTGTTTGAATTTATTATGCAGTGTGGACAATTATTTAATTCTTTTAATGAGTTTAACAACATTTTAAAACAATATGAAAAAGATAACAGACAAAAATTTGTGATTAAGGGTAGCAGAACTATTAAAACGGCTGAAAGGATGTTAAAGCGTAAATTAAAGGAAGACCTTAAATATTACGAAGTTCAATATAATTGTGTTCATGGTGGCGCAGTAAGAAGACGTGGAAAAGGCAATCGTAAAACAAGGTAAAAATTACATACTAATTTTATTATTGTCAATTTGTTATTCTGTGAATTTAATCGATATACCTAATTATTTAGGAATCTTCGGTACACCCGTGTTGAATGTGTATTTTATGTATGTTTAAGAACTTACAAAATGAATTGTCCAGCCATAATCAAAATTCGGGCTACTAAGACAGGTGATTTTCTCCAAATTAAACAATTAGTGGAGAAGCATGAAAATCATGAAATGTCAGAAGTAAGTGTAATATGTACTTTTTTGTATTTTTTTATTTTAATGGTTATTTGTTATTTTATAACCCTCTCTCTTTCAGGTGGTGTACGATTATTTGCCATCAAACCGTAAGCTAAACTCTAATGAACAAAGCACTGTCGAGAATTTAATGGATGTCCGTGGGAATAAAAAGCTAATTCAACAAAAAATATTGTGTTCAACTGGAAAATTGAGCACAATGAAAGATCTATCAAACATTGCATATGGTATGAAAAGTGCTAGTAATGATTTAGAACATGTAGTAAATGAATTGAAAGATATTTACAGTGAGTTACTATTATAGATATAATATACTTATATAGGGTGTCCTGAAATTAGACGGTCATATTTTAGCAGCGTAAACTACATGCTAAAATAGGAGTAAAAGTTCATTTAAACATAGGTCTGAAAACGTTTCGTTTTCAAGATACAGGGTGTTAAAAGTTAAGTCCTGACGACACATTTTTGTAAATATTTTCTAAACGTTTAAAGATAAATAAATGAAATTTGGTACAGATTCTAAACTTTTTACGTTATATTTAATGGACTAAACCCCAGTTTTTGATCACCTTCATAGACGGGTTAATTATGGTAAAATTAGTTTAAATAAATAGTTTAAACGTCTACAGTTTTAGAAATAAATTCTCATCAATCGTTTTATTGGGCCAAGGCCAACCAAACCATATATACAAGATTGTATATAAAATAAACATTTAAAAATCAATTAAAATTAAAATTTCTTTATTCACCGGTTTACCAGACTGAAAAAATAAATAAAATATTTGATTCCACAGGCCTACTAATTTGCACTTTCGAATAAGATAATATGAACTTATCATGAAATTTTCAAATGCTTTTCTCTTGAAAATTGTGCGTCCTAAAATGTGTCATCAGAACACCCTGTATCTCGGAGACGAAACATTTTCAGACATATGTTTATATGAACTTTTACTTCTATTTTAGAATGTAGATTAAGCTGTTAAAAGATGACAGTCTCATTTCGGGACACTCTGCATATATATTTATTTTACATTTATTTTTTTAGAATGCAATGTTCACATTTTACATGATTCTGTAAACCAATTTAAAGCTCTATATTTTTCAACTGATTCCATGAGAAGAGCAATTAAATCCTGGCCTGAATTTGTCTCTATAGATGATACCTATAAGTTATTAAATCTAGGATTTACTGTGTTTGTAATGATAGTTGAAGATTCGAATGGTCAGAGTGAAATCGCTGCCGTGGCCCTAACTGCACACGAAGACAAAGAAACATTTGCTTGTTTTATGAATATTTTTAAAGAAGAGAATTCTATTTGTGTAAAT